AGAATAATAAGATTATTTAATTAGTATTGATCAAGAGTTAATCTAGGATTAATTAAGTGATCTAAAGAAGACTAATTAAATATATGGATTGATTGTACAAATCATCCATACTTATATAGTGGGCTAATGCTCCATGGATTAACTAGTTGGGCTAAAACCCATATGATGCTCCATGGATGCTCCATGGTCTTTTTTGTACCCATGGATCATGGAAATGAAAGGCCATGTCAATTAGGGTTTACATGGTGTAACCCTAACTATATAAGCACATTATTCTTGAACAAAATCGGCCACTAGAGAGAGAAAGAAAGGGCTAGCCGATTTTCATGAAGTGTAGAATTCTCTCAAGTTATTCCAAGTGTATTTGGTGTTGTGTGAACCATTTGAGGTGTCACACTTGGGGCACTAGGCACTCAAGCTTCATGAAGACATTCTACATCAAAGAGGTATGTATTCTATCTTGTTATATTGTTAGTTTTGTATGCTAGATTAGGATAATACCTTGGATGTTCATATTTGCATGTATAATAGAGAAAACATAGATCCAAGGTATTTAGGGTTGCATGTACACTTAGGAGTGTTAGAATGCTCATAACCCAACAGTTATAGAATTCCAAAACTTTTTTTCTTTTAAATGTTTTTTAAGAAGTCATAAGTTACACTTTTGAAGAGTTTTTCTAATAAATGCTTTTATGGACTTCATAACTTGTCCTCAAGTTATGGATTTCCAGGAGACTCTTCATTAAAAGTTTTAAAACACTTAATTAAAACTCATAAGTTATGAATATCCAAAAGTTTATGAATTGTTCAAAACTTGCCCTCAGGTTTGGAATTCGTAAAGTCTCACACAAACTTTAATTCCAAACCCTGAGAGTTTTAAAAGTTAAAATTCAACACTTATATTATTTATAACATTAATGGTTAATTATTATATATATGTATAAGAACAAGTCGTTTTACCGTTAGTAGGCCTCATTCACGAAGCCAGTCTATAAGGTGGGTATAAGGTTGCTGCCTATAAAATGGCAACTTAATGGGTGTCCACTCTCACCCACTGCTTGTTTGACTGGTGGAGGGTCGTTAGCCGAACGGGTAAGACAATGACTTATAAATTATCATTAAGTATGATGAATATTATAAAGTAACTAAATGTTTTATTTAATTCCCAATCTTAGTTACTTTAGGAAAAATGTGAATTTGGTGCTAGCCCATGGAATTCACACTTTGTACCTTACCAAGTCGTTGGTGGAGCGTGTGTGGTTAACCGGCACACTAACTTGGACTAGTAAGGATCACGAAGGGTGACTTAATGTTTTTCATAGATCAATGGAGCGTGTGTGGTTAACCGGCACATTGATTAGGTGATAATATTAACGGTACCAAGTGAATTGGTATGGTTATTTACACCTTGTTTTGTGATCCTCGGCATCCCAGTCACAAAATTTGAGAGGGCACACTCGAGATTGAAACATGCCATTGAAAAGTTCAATGAATCTCAAAAGATCTAGGAATTTCAAATCTAATTAAAACCTAATAAATTATTTTGTTTTTCATGGTGGAAATTGGTGAATCGTCATTCGCCTACCTTCAAATATTTTATAGCTTGGATTACGGCATCCCTCTTCCACATTATAAAATATTGTGTTGGGTCCTAGCCTTAATATTTCATATTGGGTGTTATATTAAGGATTTTGAATCAACTAACTTGATTTTCTCCCATTATAGATGTCTGGTTCAGACAACTATGATCTTCCCAAATCTCTTGAAGACGGTGTCCCTCAACATCATGCTTCACTTCCTTCACCTCCTCCATTTATTCTCCCAAACCCACAAGTTTAAGGTCACTCAAGCCCTGTTGGCAAGCAAGATCTATATGTGATCACATGTTGGTGATGAAGTCACGTATTGACAAGTCGGGAGAGTTGGGTGTCGAAGTCTTGTGAAAGTTGGATGTTCAATCACTTTCTTAGTGATATAGTGAGTCCCTTTGGGACTACTATGAGACAGACTATGACATAAACCTTAATGATCTTACGTATTTGCTTTGTACTGCAAAATCAGCAATGATTTGGAACACTAGTAAAGCAAATTTTAATAGAAGATCAACTTCCCAAACCTTAAATGGACATTGGCAATGGTAGCATTGGATATCTAGAAAAGCATTTCTCTTCCCAATGGAAAGGGATCGGCCATAGTCAACTCGGTTGACCAAATGGTAAAGAGAAATGCTAAGTCTGAGATAGTCTCATGTGCCATTACCAAAGGGTCTATATGTTTTATTGCCAAAGGAAGGGGCATTGGTTGCGAAGCTGCCCTATTCACCTAAAAGATCATAAGGTTGATCATGTCAAAAAGTATAACTCTACTTCAGTTAAAGTCCACTGGCTAACTCTATTAAGTTCCTATTTGGAGATTCTTATTACATAATGTGAATGGGTCACATGTTGATGTTTTTTAAGAATCAAAGAAAAGATAGGAAGCTTAAAGTAAGTATATGTTGATTCTGATTGCAAAGGTGGGTTTCGATCGCATGGTTCGGTAATTAGAATTTTGAGCTATTGCTTAAGAGTTATAATATATTGCTTATGAATAGATAACAACAAGGTTTTCATGTGGATTGTAATGATAAGTTTTTCAGCAAAGTTTTAAAATAAAAGAAAAAAATGGTTTTAATTTTATTTATTTTAAAAATATCCTTACAATGGCATCTGTGGAAAATTGTTGCTTATATGTTTCCAGTAATAGCATTATTGGAAAGTGGATTTGATTCTTTCATTTGTGGTAGTGTCTGAATTTACCAAATGAAGAAAGTTTTTCATCACCCAAGTTTCAATTGGACAGAAACTTGGAATCATACAAGTTGTATTGTATGATGAATGAGAATTTTCATCTTTGAAAATTAAGACTAATTCTTTGATCACATGTATATGTGAGTCAATTGAAGGACTAAGGAATTAGGTACACTGGGTGTGCGCTGGTCAAGGTGCACCACAAAGATTGATTTGTCTTGATTTACTAAAGATTAGTAGATATGATTATACTTATGAGGTTAAGTATAATTCTGTAACATTGGAAAGGTTACAATGTATGACAAAACAAATGAGAAGAATCAAATTAGGCAAAAAGATAAAAGTTTCTCAAATCTGAAAGGATGGGAGAGTACTTTAGTATCATATTTCATGATCATCTTAATGATTATGAAACCATATCACAAAATCATACTCTAACGACGTCTTAGTGCATTGTTATGGCTAATAACAGAGGTCATGAATTGTTGGATTGGTTAAAATCAAGAAGATGGGTCATACTTCGTTCCAAAACAATTCTTAGAGTCATACTCCAAGATTGTAACCTTGAGTGACATAAAGCAAGATCTATTAACACTAGTCAAATGTAAGAGTAAAATCTTTTCTACTCTTGTACATTTGAGATTGGTAAGATGTGATGTCTTGGATGAGACGTATATGTCAAGGGGAAACGTATATGTCAAGGGGACAGTGGGAGCCTTAAAGATCCTGAAAGAGTTTCAAGATTTAATCAAGAGTAAAACCTGTAATTTATCACTAGCACACGACTGAAGGTTTTCAGCCTATCGTGTTGACATAATTCTTATTTCTGTATCTACTTCAAATAAGTTGAATTTTCATGTGAGTTATTAGAGTTCAACTTGAAAGCGTTGGTGGGCCTGGCCTTGTGCTACCAAGGTAACAAGAAACTAAGATTGAACAAGTTTAATCCATGTAAGGCTGAATTTGTCACTAACCTTCTCTAGTGATTATGGTTTTGACAAATTCACATGGATAGGAACTCATACACTTTAAAATCTAAGTGTCATAAGGTTTCTCTCTGATTCATGAAAATGATGGTGAGGAAACGCTTTCACTAAGTATATTTTACGTAGATATCAATTGTGTTATTTGCATTTTCAAAAGTCGTTAGTGGAGCGCGTGTGGTTCACCGGCACACTAACATGGACTTCTGAGAAATGGCAACAGTCTAAACAATTAAGACTATGATTACGGTATCCCTTTTCATAGTTCTGAAAATTGTTTAGACACACATGTGAGCTATCTAAGAAAGGGTGTATGAATCTAAATTTCAGAAGTCCATCAGATTTCTGGAAATATGTCAGAGCTAGTGGGAGCATAAGTGTTATGCTGATAATCATCATGTTAGTGGGAGCATGATTATTACATTTAGTGTTGCAAGTTAGCAATGTTAATTATAGAAAACAAAGTTTCAATTCGTGAAGTTACAAGGGTTGAAAAGTTGTTTTGCTACAATTAAGGGAGAAGAAATTATACTTCATTTCAATTCTAAAGCTTAGATTGAGATTTTAATCATCTTTAGTCAAGAATATATATATATATATATATATATATATATATATATATATATATATATATATATATATATATGAATTTTATGTTGGAATGGTTCAACTTGAAGAAATTCTATATATATTGCATTTTCAAAATTCGATTATGATTACGGCATCCCTCTTCATAGTTAAATTTTAAAAACATGCACTACAAGAAAACAGCCCTTTAATGACGCGCAAACAATGACACTCGCTAATAGACGACGCGCATTTGTAAGTGCCCTAAAAGATAATGTCAGTTTTGCAAAATTTGAAGGATAGAGGGCACGCATTTGTACGTGCCCTAAAATTAGTGTCAGAAAAGAAAAAAAAAGAAATGCGGAGGGCGCCTTTCATAAAATGTGTGTCATGTAAATGTGTCACTTTATAATTTTTAAGTGAAACACGCATTTTAGGCGGGAAATGAAATCAACGAAAATTACCCCCGCCTATTGAATCCCAAAAAGTTAATCCCCCGCCTCTTCTACTTAGCAAGAAAAAGCCCTAGATCCCTCATCTTCATCTTCAGTGTCATCAAACATCTCTCTCTCTTGGAATCAGGTTCTTGAAAGATCAAAACCCTAATTGTAGCCCTAACTACAACATGTCTTACCAACCGTTATCTTCAATCACATGATAAATGACGACCACCACGAAAACAGTCGGCTATACAACCTTTACCAAGATCTTAGAGTCCCTGTACAAACTTCCCACATCTCCTGAATACCTCTATCAAGAGGAATCCATCGCTCAACGACATTCATGGGGCGAAAACCTGATATACTACACTGGCATTGGTTACCTCAGCGGCGTAGTAGTTGACGCCGGGAAGGGTTTAGTAGAGGGTGTGAAGGCTTCTAAGGCTAGAGACACCATGAAACTTAGGGTTAATCGGAATGAAATTCATGGTGGCTACATTAGCGACTAGAGCATATTGGCTGGATTAGCGACCAGAGCGCTATACAAGGTGGCGGCGGGCCCTTGGTCGGCGGCTGTTGTCGGAGCTATTGGTGGAATAGTGGTGGGATTAGCGTAACGGGGAAGCATATTTTGAAGAGATACGTACCAATCTAAGCTCGATCTGTATTCAATTTCATCTTACTACAAGTTTTGGTCTTTGGAGATTTCCATGTGTGGTGGCTGTGAATACTCCATCGTTAAATAGTTTGCATAAACACGACGTAATAGAAGAAGGGAGGAAGTGCTAGAATTTTCTAAAAAAGAAACAAATTTAAGTGTTGTGGAGGAGCCACCGGTGGTGGCAAGTGAAGTTGAAGCATCTAAGGATAATAGTGAACTGAAAGTTGAGCCAGTGATGAAGGAGGCCAACGGTTGGACTTTAAATGTAAAAATTAAAGTGGAAAAGGATCCAACTCTCAGTGCAATAGCAGGATCGAAGACGAACATAAGCTCTTATTTGAATGCTGAGATCGTTCCTGGTGTATATTCTAATGAAAAACCACCATTTGTGGTGGAACTTGATGGATCTCTTCCTTTCTACATGCTGGATGCATATGAGGAGTTTTTTGGTTCTAATGCTCGCAATATCATTCTATTTGGGAAGGTATTTTAGCTAATTCAGTTACATCTCAGTTGACCCTGTACATATGTATTATAACGCTTGAGTAATTATATAAGACTCACTATTTTATCATTCTTACCAAGATAAAGATTGATCTTGATCTTTAATAACTTTCATTTGAATCAAGGTCAAAGTAGGAAGTACTTATCACAGCTGTTTTGTGGTGGTGAAGAATATGCAAAGATTCATGTATGCTATCCCAAATGGCCCTGTATTTGAAGACTCTGTTATTATGAAGCTTTTCACACCAAGCTTCATGTAATACACCTCTTGCCTTTGCTCCCATTTTCTTCTTTAAATTTACCAACATCAGATTGTTTATATTATTATTTACTATCTATTTATGCTTTTTATTTTATTTAACCAGGAGATGGCATTTGAAAATGATTTGGTGAATAATTAGAATCAAATATTCATTTCTTGGATATTTATAAGTTATAACCCCTAAACAGCTAAACCTATACAATAAAACTTTATTTGAAATAATCTGATAATCATTTCCAAATCCCACATCTCGAGTTTATAAAAACTTTATTTGACATAATCTGATATTTATAAGTTATAACCCCTAAACAACTAAACCTGTACAGACTAATTCTTTTCTTTCTTTGTTTGATTGCATGACATGCAGATAAGATTCATGGTAAAATGGGAGAAGGTGAGTACAATTTATGAACAAATTACATCTAATTGTTTGTAATATATCATTATATATATTGACTAATCTGATTGATTCTTGTATCATTCAGGTACACAAAACATACTTCTCGTGTCTCCGGAGTATTTGAAAGTGCCTGATTACAAGTCATGTCAAACACTTTCTTAGGTGTTTTATTTAATAGGATGGACACAATTCCCACTTTTAAAACTCCCAATCGGCACCAACACACAACCATAACCATTGTAGTTCTACGTTGCCTCAATCGTAGCCTCTGGCATCTTTATAAATTTAAAAAATTACAATCCAATTTGTAATGGTATGGAAGATTACAAAAATAGAGAACAAATCTGGAAAACTGAAGACATTACATCTGTATCAGAAAGATTAGAGAGAACCATTAATTCCTGACTTTTTACATATTTGCCCCAATTGATTGTTTGGTTTGAATAATGTACATAAGAGAGCAGAAGAGAGATTGTTATGAACTGGATTCTAAGACCAGATTCAATAACATAAAACATCAAAAGATTCTAATATGGATTGAGAAACCGCTATAATACCAAATGATTACAAGGTTGAAGATAGGATAGCTGATTCGAGATAGCCAATCTCCCGAGGAATAAATTCCAGATTTCACAAAAAGATTAATTGATCACTCCTTGCCCACTACTCTCTACTTATACTATCTGACATAACAAACTAAATAATATAAAATACCTAAACTGTCCCTAATGTCCTTTTATTTTTTGAATTTCCCATATTGCCCTTATCTATCATATATTGCAAAAGTTGATGCATAACAACACCCCACCCCAAAAGAACCACCTTGTCCTCAAGGTGGATAGAAATTGTGTATAGCATCCAAACGCTCCTTGGTGACCTCTTTCTCTTGCCCTTTGCCTTGCCATAAATCTTGAATGGTGTTCCCGGGATCTCAAAATGCAACACGAATTCTCTATATTTTTCTGTTAATTCATCCCCTGATCTGGTATCTTCAAACTTGTAGCTTACACCAATGAGTTTATTCAAAACAAAACTTACCTCAAAGGCACCAATCCATTCTGGTAACCCATTAAATGGAGCTTTTCTATCTTCTATCTCCACCAGTGATGCTTGTATTTCCCGGCTGGTTGTGAGCTTTTCTTTGAGTTTTGCTATTTTAAGATTCAATGGTAACAGGAGAAAATTTTCATGCGGGGTAAGCTGATCATCAAATTTTGTTCCAATCTGACCATCAATTCCCTTCTGCTTGTTTCCAACAATTGCTAATATCAGCAAATCAAAATGATCACAAGGATGAACCCTGGTTGTATAACCCAATCTCATCATGTTAGCACTAGTCATAATTGTTGGAGTGGTCCATTTAGCTATCTTGTTAACATCATTCTTTATCTCTGTGAATATTGCACCCCTTTGAGTGTTCATCTTCCTTATTAACAGGTTTAGAAATTCTGGGAAATCGATGGTTCCATTACCTTCTACTTCTAATTCGTTGATTATATCCTGAAGTTCAACTTCAGTTCTATTTTGCCCAAGCAATTTCATAATTGTTCCAAGTTCCTTTGTTGTGATGCAACTGTAGCCATCCTTATCGATTAAGTTGAAGGCTTCCTTCTTGATACCTCCCAGCTTGTAGGTGGTTGTAGACTTGCTGGAGTCGACATGTCCAATAATGTCAATGCTAGTGTGAATATTTTCCTTGCTCCTCTTTAATGAAGTATCTGTAGACAAGCTTTCTCGATAGAATGAGGAAGATGAAGAATTGCACGGCGTTAAGGGTGAGGCACTAATACGATTGGGCGATATTGATGCCGACTGGGTTACTTTTTTTTGTCATAGATTTAACTTCACATGGGCCTGGTTTCTCTTTAACATTCATGGGCCAATCCCCTGGTTGATTCAATTTGTGTGTGTCCATAGATCTAATTTTGGCCCACTCATTATTTGCCAGCCAAGTTCTTCGATGACCTAGGTAACACTTGTCCGTTCCATCGGGTCCTTCAATTGCCTCACTGACACCTGTCAAAAGCCAAGCATCTGTACTTGTCTTTCTTTGCCATGGCTCTGTTCCTCTATCATGATACAGTGTACAACAAGCTATTGCTTTCTTGGAGCTTTGAAATGCAGCCAAGCTATTGATACTCATGGTGCATCTTGAGTGGTCTGTAAGCATCAACAACAACAAATTTTTCACATTTACTTGAAGAACATGCAAAACCTACCACAACCAACGAGAAATTTCAATTTTGGGTCCTTGTGTTCAGCAAAAATTTTCGGTTTTGGTCCAAATCTGAATTTTTTAGTCTTTATTTTCACATTTCATAAGGAATTTGGTCCTAATTTTGTTAAATCTAACCACTCAGCTAATAATTTATACAAAACCTGAAGAAAACAATATGCCACAGGAACCAAAATCGTAATTTTCAATTTATTTTATCAATAAACTATTTTTGAAATCACAGCATATTTTATTTTTGACTGTCTTAAAAAGCATAGTTCTTGAGTCGTGAAAGTAGCATCAAGAATTCGAGCACCACGAGAGGTCTACATAGCAATATTGCATAGACACAGGTTGGACTAATGAGATAGAAATTGCAATTTTTTGTCACTCCCAACGAAAAAGGTAGAACACTTGGGAAATTTTCTCTCTCTGTGCAAATGACATGAATGCCCTTCTCATTATCTCATAGAAAATAGACCTAAACAGCTTCTCCAGTCCCATCCCTTGTAACAAATGCAAACTAGGTGTTTGTTATCTTTCTCTGTGTGCATCTGTGTGTGTGTTCTTGTAAAAAGGATGTTTGTATGTAAGAAAACCTTGTTTTCTACTTTGTGGTAAGTTGTGTTACTTGTGTGTGCATTATTAGGTCAATGAAATACACACTTATATAATATAGCTTTACCAGATTGAGGGGTTGTTTCTATTTCTTTTGATTAACCGAGCTTAATCTAGACACATGGTTGTTCTTTATTTGACTTAATCTATACAACATGACGTAACAGATTAAACCAAAAAACTTTGTTTAATCTATTCTGATACACACTCTTTACCTATTTGTTTTTCTACTTTTTTCCTCACGTTAAAACCTAGTTTAATCTATTCTGATACACACTCTTTACCTATTTGGTTTTCTACTTTTTTCATCACGTTAAAATTGATGAATATTATTTGTTAGATTGCAAGGGTAAAATGGTGATTGAAATGTTCTATAACATATCTCATTATATGAGTAGTGATTCTTAATCTTGGTTGCAGACAGCGTTCATAGTTGCATTCTGTCAGGTGGTTAGTAGGAAGATGAATACAGGCTGTAATATTGTTTTCGATTGAAATTTCTAAGTATTTCTCTCAGTCTCAGTCTTTGATGAGAGCCACGCCATGGAGATGGATGGAGAAAGATATAGAGGTATGTGTGTACATAATTTCTTCCCATCTCTCATTTCCTTTGTTAAAAGAGTTTGTTTATTTCTCTCATATTTTTGGAACCCATTGTATTAACTAATGCCTCTTTAGTAGTAGCAGTAGTAATGGTAGTAGGGGTATAGTTGTCATTGTTGTTGGCCAAACCAAACCAAATTAAAGCCTAAGCCTGAGGTGGGGTGGTGGAATTATGTAAATACTGCTAGTCGTTTTAGTGTGTAAATGCATGCAGATCAATGTTGTGTTATTTTACATGATATCTTTGTTGTTGTAACCTGTTTACAATTGGCTTTCTTCCACATGATGAAATAGTAACAGTTAGGAGAGGGTTTTTATTTTTAATTTTGAAAATTTGATCATCAACAAGAACAAGGCTGTCTTGTAAGTGTTATTTCATCAAATTGCAGAAAATAGCAACGTACTTGAAATATGGAGCTTGAAAGTTAAAAAAGCTTACAAGTTTTGATTGGTGGATTGATTCTTTTTAAGGCTTATTCTACATGAAGTGGTTATCAGGATATATCATACTTGACAAGGTTTGTTCAAAGTTTTATAGAATTAAAGTACACTAAAAAATGTCAATGGCTAACTTTTTGGGATTTTTCAGTTAAAATTGTGCAAAAGCATTTCTTATGTTGCAGTTGCTGCTCATGCCGATCAGACTAGTAGGAAGAAATTAGCACTTTTCCAGGTTCCTTTTTACTAGGCATTGGGGAAGAAGATACAGCCCTGACGAAGGCAACTAAAAGTGGCGATACTCATCTTGTTTATCTTGTTCTCTTTCATATATGGCAGAAGTTATTTATTGTTTTCTTATTTGATTAATTATAAAATAATGGTAAAATTAAGTTCTCAAATTATTGGCTTGTATAGAGGCCAGCATTGGAATTATTTAGAATGATACAACTAGACCTATTATGTGCGATCTATTCATACGAGACTCAAAATATCATATTTTGGCATGGCTATAAGCTTTGGAGGAAACGAGACTCAAGCAAAAGTAAATAGAAAGAGAGTTGTTGGCACATAGTAAGCTAGATGATGCAATTGTATATAATGAGTTCATTTTTTATAACATTTACTCATTTTTGGAATACTTATTTGTATTTGACATAGTAGTGAAATGAATTATCTTTGTTATTTATGGTATTTTATTTTGTATTATGAGATTTTTATTGTATTATTTAATTTGAAAAGTAGTAAATCTATAAATAATATTTTTTTTAAACATTTAAAATTATGATACGCAAAAATGTGTGAAATCTTCCTTTATGACATGGCCTTTCTTGATAGGGGCTTTCTTGATACGCATTGCGTGTCATTAACACGCGTGTTGTAAGGTTACAACACGCGAATGCGTGTCGTCTTCCTTTATGACAAGGCCTTCCTTCATATGCATTGCATGTCGTAAACGCGCGTCGTAATTGCGCGTCGTAAATGAGCGTCGTAAATGCGCGTCGTCTATAGACGACGCACAAAAGCGCGTCGTCTCTCTTTATGACAGGGCCTTCCTTGACGCGCATTTGTGCGTCATCTGAGCCTTTTACGACGCGCAGTGAGCGTCGCAAAAGGCTGTTTTTCTAGTAGTGATGGCAAATAAAAAATATTGTAGAAAAAGACTGGTCTAGTATCATGTCTTTATGTCAAACATCATGAATCGTGTCCCATATGCTTCGGATATAGGATCGATTGCATGTGCTATAATATTCATCTTTTCTAAATTTTCCAAATGCTGAAGGCATTGAGAAGGGAAAAGTCTAGAACTTGATATGACTAATGTGATTAAGCAATTGTCGAGGACAATCTGAGGTTCGCCAAAGATTGGTTGCTCAGGGAAAGTTGGAAGTATGATGTAAGTTGTCGGAAAGGACCGTATTGACATGTTCTGAAAAGAAGTAATTCTTGTTCGGAAGTGATAGTCAAAATGGGACTATGGAAATGTCTCCATAGGTGGAAGTTATTCAGTCTATGTAAGATTAGAAAACCTTAATGCAAGAAGGATCTTCAAAGCAATGTACTTTGAATATGAGACTTCCGTTCCATAGAAGTTGACCTTCTTTGGAATACTATGTAATGACTGGTGACAAAGTTTTGGTGACTTTGTGAATAATCATTACCGGAGGAACATTGCATAAAAGTTTAAAATCTAACAGATTTTTGGTAAATGATAGGAATCGGGGATTCTCACATTTACAATAAGGATTTGGGATTGTGAAATGAGTATCATTGGAATCATGTTCAATTGATCTACATCACAATGTAAGGATCATAGACAAACATAATGTGCATACTTGGAGTATGGTATAACTATTTTTTAGAAAAACAAAGTGTACATGCTAGGAGCATGGGACAACTGTTGTTTTTATTCAAGTCTTAAATTGATTGTTTGAAACATTATACAATGAATAATGTGTAATCAATATGGTGATAAATAAAAGGTGGTTCTATTTATATTCAAAAGGGTTCTGAGACCATATTGGATTCGATTATTATTGTGTTTCACTTTGCATGTTTTGACTTCCAAAATAGCTAGGTTATTCTTTCCGAATGACTAAGTTATTTAAACACTCCACAGTCGTTCATATGTTGGAAGTAGGTATGATTTAAGACTGTCATGAATCAAGTTTGTAGATGGCTAAATGGGTTTAGTCATAGCAATGGTTGCTACAACATTCATGAGTGCTCATAAGTTATGAGTGTTGGAATAAACCCCCGCTCACTTGTATCACTTCATGGAATTTATCTCGAGTGATCGTGAGACGGTAATATCATATAAATCTTCAAACCTAGAGATATGAGTTGTTACCTATGAGTTGGTTGTGCATTGATTGCACGTAAACGCATCAGTAACTTGATGTTATAAAACGTGCCTTTGTGTACAATTCAACAAGTAGTAGAACAAGCATATGAGTCGAAGTTTATCTGTTCCTTCTAGAAATAGAAGCGATATATGGGCCCCTCGATGATTTTGTTGTGACCTATGTACCAGCCGGTCAGAACTAAATTGATGTGTTCGATTAAGTTCTTTGTCAAACAAATCGAAAAGCAGGAAAGAAACTGTTGGACAATAAGTACGACGTTGTTCCATGTATTTGTCCGGCTGATGTCATTAGAACAGAGGATTATATGATCACTTATCTAAAAAGGCGCTTCATAGTTCAACAGAGTTTTCGAGAGCTAGGATTGTTGGTTGGTTCCTGAAGTAACATACGGAAATATAGTTATTAGACTTATCCAAGTGGGAGTCTGTTGGATAAGGTGTCTAAGTCCATAACTTATTTGGTACATACTTGACCCGACTCGGCATGGTCCATTTGGGTTACATTTCATCCAAACGATTTATGGATAATTTTATAAGAATTGTATACTTACGATTTATTAATATATTATAAGTTATAATATATTAATATGAAGTCATGTTATTTAATTAGTTTTAGTCTTAAATTAATTATGAATTAATTTAGAGATTAAAAAGAAGACTGGTTAAATTATGGGATATTATATTTTATATAGTGTGGGCTAATACTCATTTGTTAATGGGCTAAGCTAATATGGAAGTCCATGGATGATCCATGTAGCTTTTAACCCATGGATCCTTGGAAAGGAAAAGACATGGGTTATTAGGGTTTCACCCTAACCATGCACACTATATAAAGAAGCATATGATGCCAGAAATGGGACTCTAGTTGTGTGAGACTTAGTGGTGGCCGATTTCATAAGAAAATATACTATTCTCTCAAGTTTCCAAAGTT